CTATGAATTTTACGGAATACCCGCACGAACAAGTATTTTACATTATAGGGTACTAAAACTGCATGAGAAGCTGAATTTGTGATTATGAACTTGTTGAAGATAAAGATAAAGATATAGACGTGCGAAAGTTTCAGACGTATTAAATCTGCGAAGACGCATATGCAAAAGTTTTTTATAAACAGGAAAAATTGCATAAAGCGAGGACATATATGTATGTGTACGTTTCATAAATATTAAACGCATACAAATTTAGTAAAATCTCACAGCGATGTGAGAAAATTGTTAAATTAAATAGGAGATACGAAAAATGTCAGTTTTGCATACTTGGATTGCAACTGAGAGCGCAAAAATATGCGGGGAATTATGTTACAATGATAAATATAAAAATTCGCGACGTGACACGCAAGACACAAAATTATCAGTTTGACACGCATAAATTTATTTTTGCCTTGGAGAAAGAGAGTGACTATTGCGAATTACCACGTATGCAGTATAATTTATTCTTTTTAGCTGCGCCGCGTTCCATTTATTCTACATATAAATTTACATACACGAATATTACATATGATATACAATTTTGATTTGTAATTCGTAAAGTTATACATGTATACAGTAGTACAACATAGTTATATTATGTATACATTATGTATAAATTCGAGCTTTTGTATAAATTTCACAAAATGTCTTTTGTATTTTGATCATTATGACACAGAAGAGATCGCGACAAAAGCAATTTCAACATTTTATTTCGTCCTCAAGTAATTAACACGTAAATTTTATTACATTGCTCACATGGGATAATATAGGAATAACATATATCACGAAAAAGCATTAAAAAAAGCTACTAAATAAAAACAGATTAATTGTGAAATTGATGTTGAAATTCAGTACTCACGGTATTGCGGCGTTTCCCAATGTCGTTCGCCAGTCACACATCTTCCGCTGCAATTATCCAATACCATCAGTATCTCAGATTGATTCAGGAGCATCTCTGCATCATCCCGCGTCGATTGCATGTCACTTTGTTTCACTCCCGGTACACTCGCGAGTCGCGACAATATTCGCGAGATTGTAATTTGAACATGTTTCACAATTTAATTAATCGAGCAGTTATATTGAGCATTTGTCGGAAATGTCATTCGCGAATTCGGTTAAAGAGTTCTCTACATCCATCGTATGTGATGCCACTTGACACACTCGCATACTCCTGACAAGAATCCACGATATCGATCCACAATGATAAACCCATTGTCCATTCATTTGATAATTTGCGAATTTATTTAAAGAATATTTATGTGACGAAATAAGTCCTTCTCTTTTGTCGTTAAGATGTGTCTCAGGCGTGCGATCGATCAAAATTCCCGCGAAGGTCGAATGCGTTTTCGTAACATCTGCATGCGGCAAGATTCATCATGATGGCGAGATCTTTTACGCGAACTATTAATAATCATGCCAGCAAAATAATTAGACTGTCAAAACGCTGTGATATTGCAAACTCGATTTCGCAAAACTTTCTATTTCTGCCTTTAAATAATCGCGGTGACCGAAATACGAAAAGCTAGAAACTACACGAAAAGTGTTCGTCGCTCAAAGAGCACGTTTCGATGTATTATAATATTAAGAAGATATATCAAGTATTATTTCAACTTGTTAGAGGCTAAATGTAATTGTTTAATATATAAAATTCAGAAGTACTATTAAATCCTTGCCGTTTCCGCGGAGAGAGGAGTGAACGATCGATAAGGCGCTTATTATATCCACAAGGAAACGTGACGAAGAAATAAAGCGTCTATGAAATTGAGTTGCGATATCTTATTTAAGAAATATTATATTTCAGAATGTTAAACATTGCGTTGTCCCAGCGAAAGTATCGTCATGTGCGACCTCGGCGAGAGGTGAGAGCGTACAGTAACGTGTGGCTGCACCGGAAGGCCGGAAGGCACAGCAGTGTCTCGTGTCTGCAGGCATACGCGCGCGCGGGACCTAATACTTGTCCCTACTCCGCGCGACCTGCCGCGTGCTTCTGCACAACGCATTGTAACGGATGTAACATCCGTAATGGTTATTCTACCCGTATCTTCATTCTTGAATTAAATTATTACGTATAAATCTCACTTTGGCTGTGCACATCTTTCACGTATTAAATCTCCGTGCCGCACGTGAATAGAGTAACAGTTAAACGTCGCGTCTCGCGAATGAGTATAATGAAGATTTTTACAGGATCGAATTAATTACGGAATTAGTGCTAAAATAATTAAAAAGAGAGATTAATACGAATTACTATCTATGCAGTCTATAGTCTATTCTTTTTAGCTGCGCTGTGCATTCCATTTATTTTACATATAAATTTATACACGAATATTATACGATATACAATTTTGATTTATAATTCGTAAAGTCTGCGTTACGTACGTATATATAAATTCGCGCTTTTATATAAATTCGGCAAAATGTCTTTTGTATTTTGATTATTATGACACAAAAGAGATCACTATAAAAGCCATTTCAACATTTTATTTCGCGCTCAAGTTATTAACGTAAATTTTATTTAAACGCTGTGTGCTCATATGGGATAATAGAAAATAACATATTATATCACAAAGCATAAAAAAAGCACAGATAAATAAAACAGATTAATTGCCGAAATTAACATTAAAATTCAATATTCACGATATCGCGACGTTCCTCGACCTCCCTCGCGCGTTCACCAATCCTCATCGTCCGCTGCAATTATCCGCTACACCAATATCTGAGATTGATTCCCAGGAGCATCTCTGCATCATCCCGCGTCGATTGCATGTCACTTTGTTTCACTGCCGATACACTCGCGACACAATATTCGCGAGATTGTAATTTGAATAAGTTTCGCAATTTAATTAGTCGAACAGTATATTGAGCATTTATCGGAAATTCGCGAATTCGGTTAAAAAGTTCTGTACGTCCATCGTATGTATAATGTCTGCACACTTGACAAACTCGCCATACATGTACTTGCGACGAAAATTCACAATGATAAATCGATTGTCCATCCATTGTCGTTAAGGTGCGTTTCAGGCGCACGTTTGGTCAAAATTCCCACGGAGATCGAATGCGTTTTTGTAACACACAAAATTCGTGATGATGATGGCATCTATTTACGTGAACTATTAATAATCACGTGAATAAAATAATTATAGGCTGTCAAAACTCTGCAATACTGCAAATCCGATTTTGCAACATTTCTATTTCTGTGTTTAAGTACGAAATAATCTCGATGACAGACATACGAATGAAAAACAGGAAACTAAGTACGAAAAGTATCCGTCGTTCAAAGAGTACGTTTTGGATATGTTATAAGATTAAAAATATATCAAGTATTATTTATTTTTAGTATGATTTGTTAAAGGCAAAATGTAATTGTTCGATATGTAATAAAAATTTAGAAGTACTATTAAATCCTTTCGCGGAAAGACGAGTGGAGCTATCAATAAAACGCTTATTGTATCGATATCGAAACGTGACGAAGAGATGAAGTGCCTATTTGATATATCTTTTTAATCTTATAATAAATCTTATATATATATACATGAATCAATACATGAAGATTTTTACGGTATCGTATTAAGTACGGATTGACGAATTAGTGCTAGAATCATTAGAATATAATCACGAGACTATTTAAAATCCTCGCGTATTTAATTCATGTATTATTTATTATTACCGTGTGCGTATCAAAAATCGTAAGAATAATCTGCACGAAACTACGATCGTTCGTCAAGTCACGATCGATGGAAAGGGCTATTTGAAAATAAATCGAATTGTTACTTGAATATCGTACTGACGGTAATTTAAGATGGTTCTGGGATAAACTCTCGTTTGCGTAGCTCGGAAACTTCGGTCGCTTGTCGACGCGATTGCCCCTTACGCTCCACGAGTTTCAAATGTATCCCCCGAATCGTATTCGAGCGAGGAAAGGCGAAACCGATGGCGGAGAAACGCACCGGATACGGATTGAAACTCCGGCGTGAATGATTTAGCAGAGGTTTTCGCCTCCTCGAAGCGTTTTCGGATCCTCGCGCCTTTAACATCTTTAACCGCCTATATCGTAATTTGTAACAACGCCGAGACTTACGTAAGAGCGAGAATGGATAGGCGGTGACATTATTATGAACGGCAGCGTTATTTTGACGCACGTACACCCACACGAGCATTCGTGCCTTAAAATATACGCACATGCGTTGCCATCGACGTCGTCGTAGACCGTGGACGTGGACGGAAAGATATAAATACTAACTTATAATTAATCGTGATTTCAATAAAAATTGAAATAAATTCTAAATAAAAGATGAAGTAAAAGTGATAAGTTAAAATAAAATATCTAAAATATTTTTGTTAAAATATGGATATCGTTTGATATTAATATTAATTGTAATTTTTACACAGAGAGAATTTTATTTTAAAATTTACCCTGAAAATCATGTTAATCATAGGACAATATAGTATTTAGGCAAATTTTACTGTGCACTACAATAAGGTTTCGCAGTAAAATTTATTGTAGTGCACAGTAAAATTTACCTAAATACTATATTGTCCCACAATTAAGATGATTTTCAGGGTAAATTTTAAAAGGAAATTCTCTCCGTGTATACATAATATATTAACATTAGTTTAATACAAACTAATAATTACAAAAAAGGCTATGGGAGTAGCGCGCTAACTTTCATAGTTTTTTCTGTAATTATTAATTTAATTTAATAATTTGGAGTTCCTACATATTATCGTACTTTATTATTTTTTAATTAATACCTATATGTTTCTTTAATTCATTCAATTAGTTTAATAGTAATTAGTTTAATACGTTTGATACATTTCCAAAGTATAATTATTTAATCTCGCAACGTTCTGATCACAAACAATTGTGAACTCTGAATTCGCCGCGCATAAATTCGAGATATAAACAATTTTACCGAGAGAGAAAAAAAGGATTACGGTTATACGCATATACACGTATAATGTTACAGAACTCGAGAAGCGCGTCATTACACGTAAGCGTTACGGAGGGATAAAACGATGTAGACGCAGGAGGTGGTAAAGCGAGGAGAATCACGGGAAGAGAATCGGCGAAGAGGAGAAAAGCGGAGCGGTACACCGAAGACTATTACGAAGTGGAGAAGGATCGAAGAGACGTAATACGAGGGTAAAAAAGTGGACGGGGACGAAGGAACAAAGAAGAAAAGGACGAAAAGGCTCTTTAACCGGAGTGCACCAAACGACAGGTGAGTCCCACGGCGCGGAGGTAGGAGAGAAAGAGAGCCCACACAGTTTCCCCGTGAGGGAGCACAGAAACGAAGGGGGCAAGATGGAAAGTAGAGAGAGAGAGAGAGAGAGAGAGAGAAAGACAAAGAGAGCGAGTGAACGCGAGAGAGAATGAGCATCGGCCGCGGCGCGGTGGAAACAGAGACGGGTTTAGGCGTACGAGACGAGATGAGCGAGAGGAGAGGCCGCGAAGATACACGAGCGCGGAGCGCGCAGGCACGAGAGCGCGCCGGAGCCGCCGCGCCGCGACGCGCCGGAGCGTCGAGGGGTGGGGGTGGGGGAATAGGAGCGGCACCCGTAGTGGGGAGGAAGCACGCCGGCGCCTCAGTCCCGCGGTGTCTCTCGAGGCGTTCGGTGCGTGACGCCGCTCTATTCGCTCACGGGACACAAAAGCTAAGCGCTCGGTTCTCCCTTCGACTCGGCCGTTCCGTGCCGCGAGGCTCCCGCAGACAGGCTAGAGGAGAGAGACAGAGAGAGAAAAGTATCGTGCGCGCGGTCGCGCACGCCGGTCGTTTTATACTCATCGTTGATTCCAGCGTCGTTTTCTAGCGACGAGCAAGGCTAGCCAACCGCGACTTTAGTAGCGGAAGTCGACCGGCCGTGTATACACATCTCTCTTCCTCTGTCGCGCGCGCGCGCGCGCTCGTACGTTCGACGGAGAGCGACAACAACATCGGGCTGTTCTACGAGACGTGACTGTACCAGCTGTGGTGACGCGACACGCTCTCGAGCGGGAGGGGGAGGAGGCGAGTGTGTATTATGCCGTGCTATATGTGCTCTCCCGTTTGTAATCTTCTGTTCTGTGCATTCGGCGGGTCGCAAGCGCGAGGTTAAGTCGTCGAGGGTTTTGCTTTCCTTCGCGATTCCTCTCCTCTGTGTGCACCGAGAGTGTGTTTTCTCCGCCGAGGCCCCGTTAGCGCCGAGGGAACAAAGGGAGACAGCGAGGGAGGCCAACAGCGGGCAAAAGCGAGAGAGAGAGAGAGAGTGAGAGAAGACCTACACACACATCAGTCGTCGTATCGATCGAGAGCTGGTCCCACTTGACGTGAGTCGATGAGTTTTGTACATACTACCCGCGTTCACTGATCTTCGTCCGTGTCCGTGTCTCTGGTGACACAAGGGAGAATGGAACGCTCCGTTTTCTCCCCGTTTTGGCGTTGCCTCCCGTCGTCTCCGTCGGCTCCGCTTAACGGGAAAACCGATTATAAGCGAAGGAGCCCACGTGCGGATGCGATGATAATGCTCGAAAATAATGCTCGGAATAATGCTCGGGAAAGGCCGCGTTGGTCGCGCGAACCGCGAATAACCTTCGTCGGCAACTGTTCTTTTTATACGCACCAAATCAAGTTCACGATCACGTACAAGGGGCTCAAACTCTGCCTCCTCGTTGTTTCACCCGTCTCCGGATAGGATATCAAACGCGAAACATTCGTTACTGTCAAACGCATTCGCGATACCATGTACCAGCTCTAGTCTATCTTGTAAGCCACCTGTCATTTTCTGATAATCGTATTTTGCTGGGATATATTTACGTGTAACATTCATTCAAGGTATATTAAATAAAAATGTCGGTGAAAGTGCGTTTTTGCCTCACGCGGATCGTAAAACTCCATTTTCACGCGAATTTATATTTTGTACGATACGAAAATGTGGCTTATTAAAAAAGATTTTATCTTATAATTTCGTTTAAATTCGCGAAAAATTTTGATGTTATAGCTATAATATTGTTATTGAAAGAGTTTTGATTTTCGAGCATTATTTCAGCATTAAACGAATGTGAACGATATTGTTTGTTGCATTATATCGTATATTGGATTGTTCATTAAAATTTATACTCTACATATATAGTATTATTATCTATTGTGCTATATGTCATCGCTATTATAATGGTAGAAAATACCAGAAAGAGAAATGCGAATGTCACGAATTAATTGCAATGTAATGACATTGCAATTATTATCTATAAACGCTTTTTGGCGGAGGGGACAGGATAATATATTGATATTTTATTTAATAATTTAGAAACAATTACGCAGGAGGCAACACCGAATGGACACTATTATTGTATACGTACAGGTGCTTAAAACTGCCCGTAAAAATACAGCTCGTTAAAGATATCTCAACGATATATAGTTTCACGTATCGGTAATTTTTTTTTTACATTCAAAGAAACGCCGTTTTGTGGTCACGATAAACTTACGGTACAACGAATAATAAGTAGGAAGCGAAACGTTCGCGTACATGATGATTATCGAGGATATCTCGATCTTCTTTACCGCGTTATTTTTTTGAGCTTCCTCGATCGCCACTTGAAAGACGAGTCTTCTTCTTAGACCTGTTCGTTTTTTTTTATTTGTTTTGTTTTTTTTTTACGTAGAGACGTTTTTACGAAGTTAGAAAAATATCGCGCGTGAGCCTTCAGTTTCCAACGTTCTCGGAAAGATTTAGAAAACAAAGGATTGTAAAATATGTTGTCGAGACTCCAGTAATCTCGGGGCTACGTCGAGTCTCCGCGACGACGCGGACGAACGAGGCGACGGGGCGCGTTCGGACGCTCCCCGCGAAAGCGCACATGTGTTTCCTTTCGCGTATTATCGCGCTCTAACGGCCGTGACACCTGTGCCTGGACGTGCGTGCACGTGCACCTCGTTCGCGAAAGCCGCCGGTGATAATACGTCTTCCAGGACGATGGAGATTACGCCGCGCGACGGGGCGTACCGTCGCTAATTAGACATGCGCCCTCGAGCCCGCGTCTCTCCTTCTCTCTTTCTCTCCGCGTGATACAGCTCCGCGAATCGTACTTTTATTGCACGCGAGGTCTAATTAAGGTAGCGAGACAAAGGCCAACCGGTAAACCCGGACGATTACGAAACGCACTCGGAGAGATGCCTCAATCTAAACGTGTCCCGGCTTATAACTCGCGGGACGCCCGATTCGTATCGCGGGAAATCGAACTCGTCCGCCTGGCACTTTGCCCGAGTATAACCTTCGCCGATTCTCAATATCTTTCCTGGAGCGCGTCCGTCCCTTCGCGATATCGGGTTATCGGTGACGAGTTAACGAACGAAGCCTGTCAACATTCTCGTTCGCAGCCGTCTCATACCGCAGAGAGAGAGAGAGAGAGAGAGAGAGAGAGAGAGGAAGAGAGACGAGGTATCGACGAGGTGGAGAAGCGCACTTATCATCCAGATTCCGGTTCGCTTTGTCGATCGCTTTTCTCACGATTAGGTCGCACTTGGTCGCAAATAATGAAATTCGACGGTAGATATACGATTGACGGCGTCGTTGCTCGCTTGATGCGCGCGATCAATACTCCCGCGGATCGGCTTCGTGGCGAGTTGTCTAGGCAAACTTTCTACGGCGCGTCAAGTCTATCCCCCTCGATCGATTGACCGAATCAACGCTCTCTCGACGTGCCGTGTTTAGCAAAACTTTGACGGATGTTCGTTTCCGTTTCGTCAAAATTCCGCGGACACGCGACGCCCGCGTCGCCGCCGCGCCGAGATTAAATCACGGCTTTGTCGTAGGCTTGCAGGCTATTAATAGTCTCTCGGCAAATTTTAATCTTTGCCCTTTGTTTCGTTTTCTTTTTGCTAGAAAAATTTTGTGCGTGTAAGCTCTCGGCCTTATGCTCGTGGAAAGATTAAAAAAACAAAGGGGGTTAAAATATGTATGTAGTTCGAGTTAATATTTAACGATAGTCAGCTATCTTCACGGGAAAGCTCCGTTGAAAAGAGACCGCTTTGTTACAGTCCTCCGCGATTTTTTTTTTGGCATTTCATATCTGCTGCAGGCAGCATGAAATTGAAACAAAAGTCTCGGAAACTGAAAGTCGAAACTAAAAGGTAAAGCGACGCCGGAGAGATAAGTGTCAAATAGAATGCCGTAAAAATGGGACGCGTCTCCGTCAACCCGTAAATGAAATATCATTTTTAGATGCGTATTTATTACAAAGCTGCTTTTAATTACAAATCGTCAGCTGTCGCGTATCTGCTGATAACATTCGTCATGAAATTGAACCGGAAAGTGGAAGAACGTGGATTAGTAGATGTTTGTTTTCTTAATTTTTTGAGATTTCGAATTAATTTAACTGTTCTTTCGAAGATTGCATTCAGAGTAATTAGGATGAGATATCTGAGATATCAAAATGTCGATTTTCGAAATGATTGATTCACAAGCGAGCATCTCGAAAAACACTTTTCTATATTTTACTTTACATATTTATACGAGTTTCGTTGTTACGAGTAAAATAATGATTCACGATCGCTCGAGACGATGGACGACTCAAGTAACATCCTTAACGATCCTCAGTTCATAATATTGCGAATTTCCGGAAAACTGGGGCATTATTCTTGTTTTATAAAAAGGAGAAAGCCATATGAAAAGTGCAAAGTGCGGCGCATTACTCTTTGCGCAGATGGTACATTCGCACAGTATTTCATCTGAGAACGTAACACAGACGCACTCAACACATTAATTCTCTCTCTCTCTCTCTCTCTCTCTCTCTCTCTCTCTTTCTCTAGCATTCTAGGCTCTATTAAAGCTCGCGAATCGCCCGAGCAAGAGGGTTTGTTCTCTTAATAGAACTTTTAATGAAATTTTCTAACGTGGAGAACGCGTTTATAATATTCCGCGAAAAATCGCGTATCGCGCCCCAGTGTGCAGAGGGAGTAAAAATCCCGGGCGTGTATTTCGCGTTCGTTAAATGCGTTACGTCGGGAACAACGACGACCGACGCGTTGCGAGAGCAATGTGTGCATGTGCGCTCGGCGCGGCGCGATGCGCGGCGGCAGCGCGGCGATGCAATTCCCTTTCTTGAGTTATTCGACAAAGTTGAAAAATTGGATTCGGCTCGAGATACGGGCGGCGTCGGCGGCGGGGATCAGAGATATCTTTATCGCCGCCCGACCGGCTGTGAATTAATCCCCCGGCACTT